TTTTTTTTTTTTTTTTTGGTTTTTCGAGACAGGGTTTCTCTGTGGTTTTGGAGCCTGTCCTGGAACTAGCTCTTGTAGACCAGGCTGACCTCGAACTCACAGAGATCCGCCTGCCTCTGCCTCCCAAGTGCTGGGATTAAAGGACTGACTAATGTTTTGCAAGAATTTTCCCCAATAATATAGTTTACATAGCATGTCAGTTAAAACACAAACCACACTGAAAGTTACAGGTCAGACAGAAGAGTCAGGCTGGGCCAAGAACCCCAGTGACAGGGAGGACAGGGCTGGCCCTGCGACAGCTCAAGTCATAAGGACTCGTGATTTCCTTTCCTTCAGTGCTCTGAGGACCAATGCCCTGTCGGAAAATGAACTATCCTGCCACCATCAACCCTCAATCTCTTCTTCCACAGGGCTCCAGGGAAAGAGATCTAGCAGAAGGCCACACATCTTAAGAGCCCAAAGTCGGCCTCAGTGAGTCAGGAAGTGCTTACCTTTAAAGGTCCGCCTCTTCCATCCTCAGCCTGGAGAAGCATTTCCCTTGGGAAAGGGGAGATAGTTGCCTCTCCAACTTTTTAGTTCCAAGGTTGTGTGCTTATAATCGGGACAGAAGAGAGGAAACAATTGCTCCCTGTGAAGCCGGAGTTCTAAATCAAAGCGTGGAAAAGAGGCCAAGGGCCCTAGGCGAACATCTGTCGTTGAGTCATAGCCTGAACAGACTCAGGGCCTAGCTCAACAGCCTGGCTCTGAGGAATGGGAGAACTTGGATCACACCGGCCCCACACACAACTGCTGCTCAGAGCCAGGGGCTGACTAGAGAGGGGACACTGCTTCTCCATTCCAGAAGGCGCTAGCCTCCTCTGGTAAAGCAGAGCATCCTCACAATGTGGAAACACTTCATGTGTAGAATGTGGAACAGTGAACGGCTGACTGTGATTTAAAACAAGGACAAAGCCAGGCGTGGGGTGCACACCTGAAATCCCAGCACTTGGAGTGGGGGCGCTAAGGCAGGAAGATGGTGACTTTGAGGCTAGCCTCAGCTATATAATGAGATCCAAGAGAGACAGAGACAGAGATGAAGACACACAAAGGAAAATGGACAAATCATCTTTGAACCTTAGAAACCTGTCTGGCCTGGAAATCACTATGTAGACCAGGTTGGCCTTAAACCCACAGAAATCAACCTGCCTCTGCCTCCCAAGTGCTGGGGTTAAAGGTGTGCACCACTACGCTCTGGGTTCTTCTCCTTTATTTAGTTTGGTAAACTTGTATTTTGAGACAGGTCTTCCTAAGTAGCTGAGGCTGCCCTTAACATTTCCAGTCCTCCCGCCACATCACCAGGCAGCTGAGGTTATCCTGTTCCACGGGGTGAAACAGTGCGCGCCGGGCTCTTTTCTGCTCAGACAGAAAGATGAAGACCTGGAATATGGGCAGCTGTTGTGAAGGCTGGGAACAAGCGCTCCCATGAGCTTCTTTCCCACACCAGGTCTGCAGTCCACGTTTATAGGAGGCTGGCAATGATGGCTACATGTCTGGGCAGCTCTTACCGCCTTCATGGCAAAAGTCCTGGAGAGGCAGAACTCGCCTCCCTCCAGCAGCACACAGGAGTTGGCTTAAAACACCGCAAAACGCAGTCAATAAAAGTGGCTGAATTCAGGAGCTTGCCATCTCCTCAGCCCTGACACCTCTAATTGGAAGCTGTCAAGATGCTGAGCGGCTGCCCAGCCACGCTCCAGCATCCTGCTTGGCCTTTCAGCAGCTGCCCACAGTGGCATACAAAGCAGATGCCAAAGATGTCCCCAACACTTTATTTGTCTAAATAAATCGTAGAGCCTTGCTCTTGATCTCCAGAACGTCTTCTGCCCAGCTCCTATCTGCACGCCACATCTCTGCTCCTCCCTGCGGGAGAGCCTTCCTTTCCTGCAGGCAGCACACTCATTCACACCCCCAGCCAGGCCAGTCTTCTTGGCACCCCTGCCAACCCCACCCTGCTTCCAGCCTGTTCATATTCTGGGACAAGCAGTCTGGATATACCTGTGCCAAGCAAGACTGCCAGGGCAAGAGCAACCCGGGAGTCAGGAGCAAATCCAGATGTGGGGTGGAACATTTCCAGGGCCTTTGGGGGTGCCCGTGTGGTCAATCGGCTGAGGAAGAAAAAAAGTTACATTCTTAACTGAAAGAGAAAGGGGAACCAGAGGGGCCAAGCAACAGGAGGGTGTTGTTTCCCGTTTCCTTGGCCCAGCAGAGTTTGTGTAAATTCAGCTATGTCTTATTTGGCCCTGCAGCCAACTGGCTTCCCGACAGAAGGGGTGGGGAGGGGAATCACAATACTAACCCAATGCTATCCAGAGATTGTCAGAAACGAATAAACCCTTGCAGAGCTGCAGTCAGTCTCTCCAGGGATCTGCTCACCTCTGCAAAGGCTCAGGTTGCTCATGTTCCTCTGCCGTGACTGCCGTCCCCCATAACCCTGTGCAGTGCCGTTCCAAATCAGGGCACAGAATGGCTAAGTTCAGGGATCCCACAAGGTCATTGCCCCCAAACGGGGTCAAAGCTAGGGTTAGGTCAAAACGGGGCCTGGTGGCTGTAGCTTTTCTAAATACCACACCACCCATACATCAGAGTCTGAGGAGCTGTATTACATCTTTCCGATGGTGACAACAGGATGCCACCTTCTTTCATCCTCCCCAAGGCGTAGGAGACCAGGCCAGGCCCATGGGGCAAAGAGATATGTTAGCATAATTTATTGAAGTCACCAGACAATGACTGTGTCACAGCCAGGAAAAGAATTTGAAGGGGCATGGAGATGGTGTTCAACGCCCTCATTCTGTAGAGACTGAAGTCTCAGGACACTGTAGAGACCACACCAGGCCCTGGGCCTGGTCCTGACACAGAGAAACACACAGACTTAAGGCTCCTGGTTGTGAGCTAAGGAGATTTAAGACTAAAGCTGTCCCAGTGGTCCCGCGTTCAGGTGCTGGAGTGCTGTTGAGGCTACTGGAGGACACTACAGGAAACACACTGAGCTGCAGGGACACTCGGGACTGGAATTGAAACTGTTCTGGGTGGAGAGGTTGGAAGATCCCACCCCTGCCCCTGAAACAGTCATGATTGCCCTGTTCCCCGGCAGCACACACTTGGGGACAGACACTAGCCTCCTGAATTACAAACTGACTCAGGAGGGAGAAATGAAAAGCAGCAGCTAGAGGGAAGGAGCCAACAGAATGCTCTCCCCACATCCAGGTATGCCCAAACACCTCTGCAGAAGACTGCAGAACATTGGTATTAAATCAGCTATGAGATGCAAGCAAAACCAGTAATAACTTAGCAAAATAAATACAGTGACAGTTTTGCTGGGACTGATGAGGAAAATGTTCTTAGCTCCAGGTCAGGAAGACTGAGGTGTGCCTTTTGGGACACCACAGGGGAAAACCTGAAGACTGGGAACTTCCACAGGGGAGTGAGGTCGCAAGAACTATTCATGGTCCTTAAGAACCTGCTAAAACCTGCTCCCTGAAGGTAGATTCCTTTGTCCCTAGAAAGGCAAGGCTATCTAGTTTCAGCTCTCTGGTTAAGACTGGGCCTGGCCAGCTACCCCACACTGGCTGTCCGTGGGAGGCCCCGGAGAGCATGGCACAGGGTGGAGCCGAGTAGAAAAACAAAGTTTGTTGCTAAGAACTGAGCCTTGTTTGCAGAAGGAACTTCATTCCCTCAGGACACTCTCCAGTCGCTGTACATCTGTGCTTCCAACTTTTGGGGGCTGAGACAAATTTTGTCACTTCTCTGGAGGTGATGAGGGCCTGGCTTCGGGGCAGCGAGACTCCAGTGTACACAGCAGGGAAGCGGTTACCCGGAAAGACAGTAACTGGGAGAAAGAATATTGTCCTGTTCCTGCTAGCAGGAGAATGTCTTCCCAAGGCCTGCAGTGTCCCGAGGAGACAGACGCTTCTGCTCCATCTGCCAGCAAGCAGAGGATAGGAGCCTGGGGCATGAGCCCAAGACCTGGGGCTACCGGGGTTCAGTCGGAGAGTCAGTTCGGTATCAACGGCCTACAGAGGTGGTGGGCTTCTCTGCAGGTCTGAGCGACAGCAAGGGCAGCAATCCCAGCATCTCCCACAGCTCAGGTTTCCACCACTCGGATGAGAGGCATAGGCTTAGGGCTGGGGGGCTTGGATATCCTGACACTGGAGAGAGAGGAGTGAACACTGAGGCGGCGCTATTGCCTCCCACCCCGCAGCCGCCCCCCCCAAGGCACCTCTGGAATACCGCACCTCTGGAATACCACACCCCGGTGCTGGCTCATCTCCCCAGGTCTACCTGGAGGAGCAGCTGTGACATGACATATCTATCTGACATGGTGGCTGATAAGGATGGGTAGTTAAACAACCGAGAGTGGACACAGCTGACATTCCTGATCTTCTTCCTAGACTGGGGCCTTTCTGTGAATCTCTTAGGAACAAAAGACCCTCCTCTAGAAATGTGCAATACGTAAATATTATAAATAAATTTTACTCGCACTCTTAGGGGTTTATATACTTCCACAAACCATGCGTGGTACTGGGCTAGAGAGTGGCCTGCCGGATGATCTCAGATTGGAGACAGGGCAGAAGGCTGGGCTTCCGTCTTCCTTGCCTCAGCACTGAAGGCTTTACAAAGCTCCTCCTCTCTCCCATCCTTCCCGGGCCCACGCTCAGCATGTACTCACCTGCCCAGGTTCTCCGTCTTGGCGCGGGTCTGCGTGCTGAAGTTCCCATGACTGACCTGCTTCTCTATTAGATGCTCCATGCGGTCATGCATCTCCAGGTTCTGAAAGGCGGGCATGGTTACAGCGGGCCTCTCTGGCTTGCCACACGCCCCCATTAATTTGCATGGACGCTCCCGCTAACTCCATGACTACCAGCACCTCTCTCTTCATCTTCATCACAAGACACAACTCTCTGCCTCCAATGCTGGCTCCTCACTAAGGCAGCAACACTGCTCACTTCTGGCTTCTCCTCTGTATACATTTCCTGTCCAGAGTTTGTTTCCAGCTGACATAGTCATATACCTTCATCAAGAGCCTAGTTTTTATTTTTTTATATTTTTATTTTTTTTGGTTTTTTCGAGACAAGGTTTCTCTGTGGTTTTGAAGCCTGTCCTGGAACTAGCTCTTGTAGACCAGGCTGGTCTTGAACTCACAGAGATCCACCTGCCTCTGCCTCCCAAGTGCTGGGATTAAAGGCGTGCGCCACCACCACCCAGCCAGCCTAGTTTTTAAATATCTGTAGTTTCTTTGCTGTTGTTTTGACTTCTCCTTTTTATTTCTCTGTACGTCTGTGTGAGTGCACACCTCATGCACACAGGTAGGTGCCTTCGGAGTCTAGAAGGAAGTGCCAGATGCCCGGTGCCGAATATACAGGTGGCTGTGGCTTGCCAGATGTGGGTGCTAGGAACTA